TAATTCCGATCATTTGTAAGATTGATTCTGTAATATTATTAATATGTGATTATTCTCTTATATAGTTTTATACTGTATTTTTGGAATGCTACAATTATTAATATCAATATATTATAATTAAATATTGGGGAATATGTCATTTACAATTATCATTAAATAAAAAGTCAAACTATTTTTAATTATATTCCAACATACCACTGAAATTATACCATAATAAGCACTTTAAAGATACAATGCAATAGATTTTACACATTTTTCTATCAAATAAACTTTTCAAAAAATATATATATATATATATAATATTACAGGTGATGTACCACACATAAAAAAGGACACAATATCTAACTACCACTTTACAGTTGCAGTGCATTAAATTTTAAACATTTTTTAAACCAAATATCATTCTAAAACAAAAACGTGTTGTGCAGATCCCTTATGGATCCAAAAGTTAATAATTCACTTTAAAGAAAAAGCACATTTATGAAATCACTCATGATTCAATATTCTTATTCTAAAAGGGTAAAAGAAACAGAGTTTTAGGTTTGTATTAATGAATCCATCATGAAGTTCTGTTATGCAAAATATGACACAAAAAATAGAAATTCTATTTTGATGTTTTTTATTAAAATAAATTTATTTTTATTGTTAAAAAATAAATTTTAGATCTAACTCAATTTTATAAAACTTAATTTTATAAAATTGAATTTTACATTCATTTATATGAACAACCTATAAAAAATATACACAATCTTTAATATAAAATCTTAATATTTTAATATTTATATATTTTTTTATATTTTATTCAAACTTTTCACAATGATTTTTTTTAATTTATGTTTGTAACAGAACTATGAAATCATATTTCTTAAAATTGAAGACATGAGTATTGTATATGAAAAAAAAATATAATTATAAAATGTTGAGACATGAAAATATCAGTTTAAATCTTAAATTAAGTAAAAGTGAAAAAAGTTAAATATTATATGAAAAAAATATAATTATAAAATGTTGAGACATGAAAATATCAGTTTAAATCTTAAATTAAGTAAAAGTAAAAAAAATAAAATATTATATAAAAAAAAAACTCATAAAATTATTATTTTAAGATGTGTAAATGTTTTATAGTGGTTAGACTTATTCAGTAAGTATTGTATTTTAGCATCATAAAAGAAGGGTCCTTTTCATTGTTCATGATTCAGAAGTATAGGGTTTGAGGTTGCAGATAAATGTTTGTTTGTTGGTAGTTGAAGATGTGCAACTTTTAGTACCAAATTTCGTTATGATTTGAAGATGCACAATACTCTTCTATCATATGATTTGACCATTCTATAAACCCTTTCCATAAAGTGTTGTCTCTTATCCATTCTACTCAATTATTTACATTTCAACTCCAAAAAGTGAAAACAAAACAAGAACAAATAGGGATATATCATATAATTAATCAATCATTATTCTATTATTTATTTTATACTAAAAATATTTTTTTTTTTCATATGATTCGTGACAAGATTCAAGTTAAAGATCTTCACCTATTACTAATAAAATGGGTTCATCAAACATGTGGATATTTTCCCAAATTCTTTAGATCAAAACTCGTTTTACTAATATAGTTTCTAAGCTTTTTAAACACTTCATTTTAAAAGAATATAAGAATATGTTAAAATATCTCCATATACTTTTTTTCATAGTGTAGTTTGAAGGAATGTATTAAAATATTTTAGTACACTTTTTTTTATTGTTAGTTGCTTGTTAACTCTCTTTTTCTGTTTTTTTTCTTTGTTTCTCTTCTTTATTGTATAAATTGCTTTTTTTACTAGTTAATAAATAAGAAGTTATATTGATTGTTTTACTAGTTAAAATAAGAAGTGAAATGTACTCTTTCATTTTTTTCTTTTTTTTTTTCTTCTTTTTTTTTATATCTTTCTGTTAATTATAAATACATATATTTATGAAAAAACTCTAATACTAGGTTGTGTGAAAGATTGGGACTAAGAAAATTTTATTTTCTCATTTTTATTCAAACATTTATTTGGAAAACCCTTTAGAAATAGTTTTTATGTTATGCACCCTTTTTAATCATTATGATATTGGTGCAGAAAAATATTACATTCATTTATGATTATTTTTTGTCAAAAAGTTTAATGATCATTTGACAAAGTTTTTTCTCTTAAAACCCTTTTCATTTATGAAATTCTATTTAGGACATTTATGATCAACAAACATGTTACGGATATATACTCCTTCAATTATCTTTTTATTTTATTTTTTCTGAAATCATGGGATTTTTGGTTATCAAATTTGTATGTCTCCCAATTATTACAAAAGAGTCTAATATGAGACTTAATAAATTTTTACCACAAATGTTAGACATATGAAAGTTTAATTATGATTTTAGAGTTTCTACTTTTTTTTAAGTGAAAACAATATCCATACTATTAATAAAAGGATTAATTTTTTTTTCACACAATTCTTTTCTAATTTTATCCTTTTCAATAGCTATTTTTTAAATTTAAAGAATTATTAAGAAAAAAAAAACATTTTCACTTTTACCTTTTACTAACTATTTTTTGAATTCAAACAATTACTTATAATAAAAGAAATTACATATAATAAAATTTTAAAAATGATTTATTTTTATAATTTTAGCCTTTTATAGAATCTATTTTATGATTTATTAGATTTTTTAATAATTAAAAATTATTTATCATTTAATTAATTTTTTGTTTAAGTAAAAAAAAAATGAACATGCATGCACTCTAGTTTTCATTAGTATTGATAATTGAGATTGCTTTCTATTCAAAGGAGATTTGAGTGTTAAATAGGGTTTTGATTATAATATTTGAAGTAACTTTCAGTTTTTATTAAACAATGTATTGATATGTTTTAGGTAATTCCATTCCCATTCAATCACAAGTAAAATTAATTTCAAACTCTATTTTAAAGGTTACAGTAAATTTTTTTATTCCAATTAAATTCAACAAGACTCAATTTTTCAATTAAGATTCAAACAATCTCTCATGCCCCTTCACCATCAAATCTTAAAAAGTACATTTTCTTTGTCATTTTTCTATGTTAAAAGAAAAGTCAGTGAAATGGTTAGACCCAACAAAACCAAAACAAAAGCAAAATCCAAAAGAAATAAAAGCTTTGGACCAACCAATTGGTAGAAAAATTACATTTGTCTCCCATCTTTGACAGGGATTTGCAATTTTGCATAGCTATAAAAACCACTAGAGTATCAAACACACTGTTTTTATACCTTATAAGTGAAAATTCACAATCACAGTTCTATAAATAAGATTAGCAGTGAACTAACTTATTAAAAAAGTACTTATTACATGTTTGATTAATGGAATAAATCAATTTTACAACACCCCTTCTGAATGTAAATTAAAAGTTGAAAGTAATGTAAAGTTACATATTAATTAATACACTACAAATTTAAATTAAACACATACTTAAACTAAATTATTTGTTGATTAACAGTCTCCTTTACAATCATTTAAACTAACTCTATTTTGTAGCGAGTTTAATAAATTAAAAATTTATTAAACAGAAACTTAATACTAAATTATTTATTGATTAATCATCCCTTTACAACCGTTAAAACTAATTTATTTTTTTGACATGGTGGGGAACAGTCAATGAATCAATAACAGCACCTTCTTTGGACTAAATTATTTGTTGGTTAACACTCACCTGTGAATTTTATAAAGCATTAACAATTCCTTTTCAATACACTTGATAATGAACCACTATGTGAACATGATGTGACTTGTTTAGTATTTTGTTCAGATATCTACTTTACTTATCACACCACATCATTGGATATTCTTAGATCATTCCAATCAAATCTTAAATAACTCATATCTATGCTTCTCTAAATGTGAAAAGCATTATTTATAGAACTTAATTACGTCTCATGTATAATTTATAAACATTAAGAAAAAGTTTTCTAGTTTTATATTTCATAATTTATGAATGAGAAAAAATCAGTGGATAACAACTCCCATATCCTAACCCCAAGAAGTCCTTGAGAGGGCAATTGAATATTGAAATGTTGTAGGGAAGTGATAGCCATTTTGAAAAGGAAATTTGTATATAAGCTTTATTTGTCACATCTCCACCAAGGAAAACCCACCTTTGTCATAGCAGGCGTGGACCTCACTTCTCCACCAACCATCACAGACCCTTTCAAGTTGGCATGAATAAAATAATGTGTTGTACGGACGACACACCCACCACACTCATTCACACATGCACAACACAGATTGTGTTATCTGACCACAACATGTGTTGTGTTCTGCTCATTGGCTCATCAATAAATCAAAGGGATTACATGTCTTAGGACACTAGAAAAAATAAAAGAGAAGTTTTTAAAGTCCATTCAGTATCATTGAGTAGCCGTACACCCAAAAAGGAAATATTTATCTACATAAGAAATTTTGTTTCACCTTTCTCCTAAGTTCTTTAGATGAGACTTGACATGTTGGGGAAACTGATGAGGACTGTTTCAACACTGAACAACTTTCCCCTACAATGCAATAGTTTCCCAGCAATTAGATAATAGCACATGACTTCATTATTTTAAATCTAACACAAGTCAGTGCAGGACAGCCTGAATGTTGTTCCACAATTCTAAAGGACACTGCCACTGCTAGGCTGAAGAAAATTGGTCCATCCACAACCTTGGATTAGATGCTGTCCTAGTTAAAAAGGTGATAAAGAAAAGTTTGCATGATAAAAGTCATTACACCAAATTTTAGAAAGCCTATGCAGTCAATCAAATATACTTAAATTCATGATTAACTCCATTTTCAAAGCATGCAGAGAAAAAATGCATAGCCTTTTGACTATGAAATACTTCTGTTTTGATTAATAATAGTAGCAAAACATGTAGATAGAGAGGAAACTAAAAATATGTGGCTATTTGTATTTTCAAATGCTATATAATATCCCAGTATCCACAAATAGCCAACCTTATCAGCAAGTACACTTTGTATAAAGATGTTGAAAAGCAGAAATCAAATTAAGCTTTACTAGAACAATGGAGTAAAATCAAGAAAACTCAGACACAAAAGTGTCAATACTAATAATAGTAGCGCAGCTGTTGATTGTTTGAAGAACAACCTATGGAGCAATTTCAAGCCTAGGCTCAAAGCAAAAACCAGTGAATAGCTGTAGAGGGAACCTCTTTGATACAGGGCATTTCTGTGACCATTTCCATTGTTTAAGGTTCAAATCAAATGTGAGGAGTGCTGGAGATCCATAACTTTGGATATATATTTGATCATCAGTACCACTGCTAGCAAAAACATCATCAAACTCCCCAAAGCCTTGAAAGTATCTATGGGGCATTCGTACAATCTCTTCCCACTTCCTATCATTAAGAACCCATATGCCAATTCCTTTTATTATGTCAGGCCTATCCTGCTTACCAATTCCTCCCACCATTACAAGTTTTTCCTTCATATTCATCAATCGGCCACATGTTAGTGAACAGGGTGCAGCAATAAAACTCCTTCTCAAGGTAGTTTGAGAAGTGAGATTAGAAATATTATATGCAATCAGTGCATGCCTACTTTCTGAAGGAACACCCCCAGCTAAGTAGACTAAAAAGTATAACACACCATTGCATATCACACTCTCATTACCACCTCTCCACCCCTTCAAAACCTCTGTTGCAGTTGTCATCCAGGCCTCTTTCTCTGAGCGGTATATATGAATTGAGATCTCCCACTGGACAAAATCCTCAGGGATTTGTTTTGATTTCACAATTGCCAGAGTGTAACTGTGAGATTTCCTGTTCACTGACATTGCCAAAGCACTGTAATCAGAAAATTTCAGACCCGGAGGACCTTCAAGCCTTCTGCACCTTTTGGTAATAGGGTTGCACATGCATAATTTGCTTCTGCTGTCATTGTCCATGAAGCAGACTAAACCATAAGAAGAAACAACGAACCAACTAGATGTTTCGATGAAAGGAAGCTCAATGCCATACCATTTACGGGGAATGGGATCATAAGCATAACCAGTTGGTTCATCTGAGTAGGTGAACATAAAGTACCAAGGTCTCTGAGGCAATGAATTTGAAGGGTTCCATTGAAACCTTTCAGAAGTAATAATCTCATGCCATCTTTTACACACAGAACTTGCTCTGAAAATGCTTACAACGGGGAGATACGCTAGGATTCGCTCCACCAATTCATCAGGTAACACTGTGTTCACAGAAACAGCACTTCCCTCTGTATCAACTTCCTCACCAAATTCCAAAACTGAATCAAACTCTCTAGTCTCCCTACGTGCACCATCATCTAAGTGGCTTATCCATGATGTGTCTCCCGCCATGATAGAGTTGAAAGTAAAGGGTCACTCAGTATATTGGAAAGAACTCAGCTAACTCTGTTAAATCGTCCTAGCAAACAAGAAAGAAAACCAGTTATTATATCACCTGAGGAAATTCTAGATCATAGAAAATCAAACTAGTACAGGGGGTGAAGCACCTCATGACAAAATAGAAAAGACATTTCAAAAAATACACCCAATCCTGCCAAAGGAAGAACATACACAAATCAAACACACACAAAAATACTTTCTCGCGCATGATAAATGATCAAAGGATGAAGTAAACAGAATACAGCATGTGCACAATCAAATCTCACCAAAGATAACAAGACTCAAACAAAAAATCACCTCCTTACAATAAGAAAAACACTAATTCCAAACTTCTGGTTAGAGGACCACAACGAAACTAAAAGCCATCACATGTCCTACTTTTGTAGGTGTTTTAGAAAAGCTGGTCCAGTCCACATGCTACTGGGTAAGATGGTGAAGAAGTTTGGAAATAGCAATCAAAGCCAGACCCCACCTCGGGAAATTTCTTAAAAATTGTTTGGTTCTTCGAAATTAACATTGCTAACAAATCAAAATACAACGTTAGTAACAACCAAAAGGAGCTGATAGCAGATAGCCAAGTAAAGCAAGAATCGTCCGATATAATATTTAAGTATACGCATAGATAACACCGCAACCACACTCAAAAACAACATGCTTCGAGATGAGCTCATAAATTTCATGTCAATGTTAAACATACAATGAAGGCACAAAGGAAAACCACGCACAACCCAAAGGCAACACTTTTATCAAACATACAAGAGTAACAATGTTCAAACACACACACACTATACCATTGGGAGAACAAACACTCAACCTGCTGGTTATCACAAGCATATTAAAAAATACTGCAAAAACCAACACACAATAGAAAAAATCCAGAAAACCTCCCTTCTTCACAGAGGAGCAACATTTAGAACCAGAAATTCACCCCATTAGAGATTTGGTGGAGATTCAAACATAACAAAAAATAAAAGGAGTTTTACTGAGAAAAGTGATATCAAACGATTAAATACCCATCAAGCAAACACCGAACATCCCTGAACCTCAGAGACTAATAAGCGAAACAAAAAACCCAAAACAGAAATCAAATTCCGAAGACGCAAACAGTGCAGATCAACGGACACAGAGGACCACCCATAAAAAACGGAAACACCCAACAGGCAGCCATTGAGAAAGAAAACATTTTGAAGATTGAAAGAGGAAACCCATTACACAGAGAGATAGATACCTCGTTTGAAAGACTCCAGCAGTGTGAGTGTGAAAAAGGGGTGCGAAGTGATGGAAGGGATTTATTATAGGGAAAAAGAAAAGGTTGAGAAGAATAAAATTATTATTATTAGGGAAATGGGAAATGAAAGGAGCCAGAAAAGCATTGAACCTTATGGGGGAAAACAGAATGGAGGACGTATAAAATTTTCCTTCAAATGGAAGAACAACGAAATGGGTTGCTCTAGATTTGGTTGATAAACAAGGCCAAGCAACACACTAAATAGAGAGAGAGTGAGAGAGAGAAAGAGAGTGACTGAGAAAGAGAGAGAGAAAGATTTTCTTTTTCCCTTTTGTTTATTTATTTTGGTGTGGGGTTGATACATCAAAAACGACAGGAAATGAAGTGCGGTTTTAGCGTGGGGGTGGCTAGTGCATTCTATGCGGGAATAGGGAAGCGCGTGCCGGGCGCGTGATAACCTCGCCTTAGTTATTATTTCTTTTTCATTTTTAATTTCCGTTACTAAAAAGATAACAAGCTTCCGTTTATTTTAGGAAAAAAACAATCAGAATAGGTAAAAATGAAAAAGGTTGGTAGAATTATTGAAAAATAAAATTAATTAAATGCATATGGTTCAACAAATTAAAAAAATGAGATTGATTTAAAGAAAAATTATCGAGAAATAGAGTGTGTTTGATGAGAAATACAGAGAATAGAGAATACAAATAAGAATGTGCAAAGTAAAGTATAAATTATATATTTTTACTAAAAATGAAGAGACGAAGATAATATATATATATATATATATATATATATATA